CAAATTTGAGAGATTAATACAATTTGCTAAACCAGAACCTAAGCCTGATGCACCTATTGCACCAATTTAATTCTTACTTTTTAAATATTGAAGAAAAAATATATCATAAAATAGTTAATTAGAAGGAAAAAATGAAGAAAAAATATGAAATAATAAGATTAATTAATTAATAATAAAAGTAAATAATTTGAAAATAAAAGGATGAGCTAAATAAATTAACAAAGAAAGAACAAAAAAAAGCAAGCACAATAAAAACAAAAAGAAAAAAGAGCTTTATTGTTTTTAATTAGTTTTTATCATTCAAAATATCACAATCCAAAACAAATAAACTGTTTTTACCTAAGGTTAAGTGTCAAATTTGAGAGATTAATGCAATTTGCTAAACCAGAACCTAAGCCTGATGCACCTTTGTCACCAATTTAATTATCACTTTTTAAATATTGAAGAAAAAATATATCATAAAATAGTTAATTAGAAGGAAAAAATGAAGAAAAAATATGAAATAATAAGATTAATTAATTAATAATAAAAGTAAATAATTTGAAAATAAAAGTATGAGCTAAATAAATTAACAAAGAAAGAACAAAAAAAAGCAAGCACAATAAAAACAAAAAGAAAAAAGAGCTTTATTGTTTTTAATTAGTTTTTATAATTCAAAATATCACAATCCAAAACAAATAAACTGTTTTTACCGAAGCTAAAGTGTCAAATTTGAGAGATTAATGCAATTTGCTAAACCAGAACCTAAGCCTGATGCACCCTTTGTCACCAATTTTATTATCACTTTTTAAATATAGAAGAAAAAATATATCATAAAATAGTTAATTAGAAGGAAAAAATGAAGAAAAAATATGAAATAATAAGATTAATTAATTAATAATAAAAGTAAATAATTTGAAAATAAAAGGATGAGTTAAATAAATTAACAAAGAAAGAACAAAAAAAAGCAAGCACAATAAAAACAAAAAGAAAAAAGAGCTTTATTGTTTTTAATTAGTTTTTATCATTCAAAATATCACAATCCAAAACAAATAAACAGTTTTTACCGAAGCTAAAGTGTCAAATTTGAGAGATTAATGCAATTTGCTAAACCAGAACCTAAGCCTGATGCACCCATTTCACCAATATTTTTATGACTTTTTAAATATTGAAGAAAAAATATATCATAAAATAGTTAATTAGAAGGAAAAAATGAAGAAAAAATATGAAATAATAAGATTAATTAATTAATAATAAAAGTAAATAATTTGAAAATAAAAGGATGAGCTAAATAAATTAGCAAAGAAAGAACAAAAAAAAGCAAGCACAATAAAAACAAAAAGAAAAAAGAGCTTTATTGTTTTTAACCCAATCTAAAAAATTTTATGTATGCCCCGTGGGGTAATTGACACATTATATATTATATATTTTTATTCAATTAAATTTAATTACTTTTTTGTATTTTCTGATTTCTACTTAGCTTAGCTAAGCTAAACAATTAATTAAAAACAAATGTATGTAATTAAATGCCATTCACTAATATAGTCGTTTCCAAACGACAAAATTTTTGAATAGCATTTTGCTATATTTAAAAAAAAACAAAAACTAAAATCAATTATCAAAATAAATAATCAAAAACACATAGAAAATATCTTTTTTCACTCTAATTTTAAAAATGGATAAAATTACAATCTAAAATCTTAAATGCAATTAGCATCCAAATAAAAACCTTCAATTTATTTAAGTAAATGATGTCCTAACATAATCTGTTCCAACTAAACCTCTCTTTTACTGCTCTTCCTGTTTTAATCATGATCTTCACTTTAAATCTATCAACTATCTTATGATCGATCAGATTTTTTAAGAAGCAGACACTAACATCATCCCAAAATGGCCGCCAGTCAATAACTACCAAATCATCTCAGATCTCATCGATCTTACATCAAATTAATCTTCACTTGACTATGTCAAGCAAATTACAGACTTCTTTCATCAACTTAAAGAAGAGTTTTTAAATAAAATAGATATCATCTAAAAAAAGATGATCAATGAAGCCTTGAAATATCCTATTGATACTTAGTAAATCATCAAAAGATATTAAGAAATTTCAAACATTCTCTAGTTTAAGTAGCTTCTTAACAACGAAAAACTAAATAACCTCCAAGATCATTCAACTCTCTGTAAAGAATTTATATCACAAATGGAGTCTCAAAAAGATAAAAACACTGAACTGTTGTAAAGTCTACTTACCTAAGCAAATTAATTAAAAATAAATTTCAACATGGAATATCCTAACATCATTAAATAGTAATTACTTACATTTATTGACCACATTTCTTTCTTCAATTTAGATATTCCTGAAGTTAATAGTCTAAATCATAACAACACTAGAAATGATTTGGAAACTATCATTACAAGTCAAAGTAATTAAATTGGAGATTTATAACTAACATCTGACTTAATCATGAAGCTTGTTTCTAATAAATCAAACTTTTGCTCTGACTAATTCTTAAACAAGCTAAGTGAAAGTCTTTAAAGAATAAACCCTCTACTTAAATAGTTTACTTTCAACATAGCAGTTTTCAAGGAGAATAAGGAATAAATTGATTTTTATAAGATTAGTGAGGAAAAAATAAATTTGATAGAAGAATATGTAAATCATTAAATAACTTTGTCAAGAGGGGAATAATAATTTGAAAAGGAAGTAAAGGATAGTTTAGAAATCAAATAAATGATTTAAATTATAGATTCTAAAATGAGTTTCTTGAGGTAAGAATTCATATAATAGTTTGAAAAGTTCTTAGTTGATGTAAAACCTTTCTTAAAATAGATTAATTTCACTAATACTTTTACTGACAAAAATAAATTTGATTTCTTCAGAAATTTGAAAGATAAATAATTGAATGCTTTATTTTAGGAAAGTTTACCCAATTTAGATCTAAAATTGTTAGCAACTTAGTATAATAATGGGTAGATAAATTGTGTTGTAAATAAAAAAGAAAATGGTTACTATGAAATTGAATAATTAGATAATAGTAGTTGGGTGTTTTGTATATCAAATACAAATTTATAAAAAGATTAGAAGTATATTTTTAGGATAAAAGTTGAAAGTCTAAATGAAGGTAAATCTTTTATGATAGGTCTTTTGAGAAATTCAAATGCTGATTAAAATGCAGGATATTATGAGTATTTAAGTTGTTACTTAAAGAAATATAATCAATCTGTAATTAAACATGGAGGTTATGGTATTGATAAATAATTAAAGGGAGCAGGATTTAAGACAAGTGGAGAGAATATGATAGAACTAAGATTGTGCTTGAAAGAGTAGATTTTAGAAGTGTTAGATTATCCTAATTATGAATATAAGCTAGGATTATAGGATAAATTTAAAGAGAAGCTTACATAATTTGATGATCTAAGATTGTATCTTGGTACTATTCATTAAGGAAGCAAATTAATTTTAATGGATGTAAAAATAGTGAATGAGTTTTTAAATTGAATAAAATTTGTTATATTATGATATATAATATGATATTTGATAGAATATTTATTTTTATTGTTTAAAAATTAAAAAAATTATTGAACCAAAATTCAAAATAAATCAACAAATTCCCTATTTAGTTAAGGCTTGTATAGTCTTAATATTTATTATATATTTCTTTATTACATCTTTAATAATTAAATAAATAGTTTAAACTTTTAAATAGATTTTATTGTGTTTTTATGATTTTATTTTTGTGTGTATTGATCTTAATTCTTTACTTAATTACAAAAAAAATTAAAGTAATAAAAAAATATTTTTTATTTCAAAGAGAATTATGATTTCATATATTTCTGACGAACTTTATTAATAATACTTTTATACACTCTATAACTTAATAAAAAATAAAGGATAATCTTAATTTTTATTTTTGCATAAATTTAATATACTCTAATATTTTTTAATAAAAATTATTCTATTTATTAATTTAAGCTTTATTCAAAAAAAAAATAAATATATTTTATGTTTACAAAATTTATAATTTGAAAGTAAATTATGTTTCTTATGAATATTCTATTATTATTAATTAATTTTAATCTAACAACATTATAAAATATAACTAAAATTCGCAAAATATATCTATCCCTAATTTATTATTTATTAGAATATTTCACTACTTCTAATATTATATTCAAAAAAGTATTTTTCTTTTTAACTTATAAAATTCAAAGAAAACTCAAATTAACTATATAAATAATAATCAAAAATACATTGAAAATCTCTCTTCTAGATCTAATCTTATAAATGGACAAAACTGCATTCTAAAATCTTAAATGCAATAAGCATCCAAATAAAAGCTTTCAATTTATTTAAGTAAATGATGTCCTAACACAACCTATTTCAACTAAACCTCTCTTTTACTGCTCCTCCTGTTTTAACCACGATCTTCACTTTAAATCTATCAACTATCTTATGATTGACCAGATTTTTTAAGAAGCAGACACTAATATCATCCCAAAATGGCCGCCCGTCAACAACTACCAAATTATCTCAGATCTCATTGATCTTACGTCAAATTAATTTTCATTTGACTATGTCAAGCAAATTACAGACTTCTTTCATCAATTCAAAGAAGAATTTTTAAATAAAATAGATGTCATCTAAAAAAAGATGATCAATGAAACCTTAGAATGTCCTATTGATAGATAGCAAATCATCAAAAGATATTAAGAAATTTCAAACATTATTTAGTTTAAGTAGCTTCTTAACAACGAAAAACCAAATAACCTTCAAGATCATTCAACTCTCTGTAGAGAATTTATCTCAAAAATGGAGTCTCAAAAAGATAAAAACACTGAATTGTTGTAAAGTCTACTTTCCTAAGCAAATTAATTGAAAACAAATCTCAACATGGAATATCCTCACATCATTAAATAGTAATTATTTACTTTTATTGACCAAATTTCTTTCTTCAATTTAGATCTTCCTGAAGCAAGTACAAATCATAATAACACTAAAAATCATTTATAAACTAATATTACAAATCAAAATAATTAAGTTGGAGAATTAAAACTAACATCTGACTTAATCATGAAGCTTGTTTCTAATAAATCAAACTTTTGCTCTGACTAATTTTTAAACAAACTAAGTGAGAGTCTTTAATGCATAAACCCTCTACTTAAATAGTTTACTTTCAATACAGCAGTTTTCAAAGAGAATAAAGAATAAATTGATTTTTCCAAGATAAGCAATGAAAAAATAAATTTAATAGAAGAATATGTTAAGCATTAAATAACTTTGTCAAGAGGGGAATAATAATTTGAAAAGGAAGTAAAGGATAGTTTAGAAATAAAGTAAATGACTCAAATTGTAGATTCTAAAATGAGTTTCTTGAGAGAAGAATTCATATAATAGTTTGAAAAGTTCTTAATTGATGTAAAACCTTTCTTAAAATAGATTAATTTCACTCATAGTTTTACTGACAAAAATAAATTTGAATTCTTCAGAAATTTAAAAGATAAAAAATGGAATTCTTTATTTGAGGAAATTTAATTCAATTCAGATCTAAAATTGTTTGCAACTTAGTGGAATGATGGGTAGATAGATTGTGTGATAAATAAAAAAGAAAATGGCTATTATGAAATATAAAAATTAAATAATTGTGATTGGTGGGTGAATTGTATTTCAAATACAAATTTATAAAAAGATTAGAAGTATATTTTTAGGATAAAAGTTGAAAGTCTAAATGAAGGTTATCCTTTTATGATAGGTCTAATGAGAAATTCAAATGCTGAAAAAAATTATGGATACAGTGAGTATTTAAGCTGTTTATTAAAGAAACATAATAAATTAGTAATTAAAAATGGAAGTTTTGGAATTGGCAAATAATTAAAGGGAGTAGGATTTAAGACAAGTGGAGATAATATGATAGAACTAAGAATATGTTTGAAAGAGTAGATTTTAGAAGTGTTAGATTATCCTAATTATGAGTATAAGCTAGGATTAGAAGATTAATATAAAGAGAAGCTTACATAATTCGATGATCTAAGATTTTATCTTGGTACTCGTTATTAAGGAAGCAAATTAATTTTAATGGAAGTTAAAATAGTGAATAAGTTTATAAATTGAATTAAATTTTATATATAATAAAAATATGTTGTCCGATAGATATATTTATTTTTGATATTTAAAAATTTTAAAAACTATTTGATATTTAGTAAATTTCTATTGATTATTTTTAATTAAAATTGTTCAAATACTCTACATATACATTTATATTCTTATTGCCTTATTTATTAGAATATTCATTTTTTTTTATCAAATATTGAAATTAATATCTTTCTTTTTTTTAATTGCAGACAAACCATAATAAATAATAAAAATAACATTTCTTACCAAAATAAATTATCAACAATACATATATAGTATCTTTTCTCACACTAATTTTAATATATGGATAAAATTACCATCTAAAATCTTAAATGCAATAAGCATCCAAATAAAAGCCTTCAATTTATTTAAGTAAATGATGTACTAACACAACCTACTTCTACTAAACCTCTCTTTTACTGCTCTTCCTGTTTTAATCATGATCTTCACCTTAAATCTATCAACTATCTTATGATCGACCAGATTTTGTAAGAAGCAGACACTAATATCATCCCAAAATGGCCGCCAGTCAACAATTATCAAATCATCTCAGATCTCATTGATCTAACATCAAATTAATCTTCACTTGACTATGTCAAGCAAATTACAGACTTCTTTCATCAATTCAAAGAAGAGTTTTTAAATAAAATAGATGTTATCTAAAAAAAGATGATCAATGAAACATTGAAATATCCTATTGATACATAGCAAATCCTCAAAAGATATTAAGAAATTTCAAACATTCTTTAGTTTAAGTAAATTCTCAATAACGAATAATCAAATAACTTGCAAGACCATTCAACTCTCTGTAAACAATTTATATCACAAATGGAGTCTCAAAAAGATAAAAACACCGAATTGTTGTAAAATATCCTTACTTAAGCAAACTAATTGCAAACAAATTTCAATATGGAATATCCTCACATCATTAAATAGTAATTACTTACTTTTATTGACCAAATTTCTTTCTTCAATTTAGATATTCCTGAAGTTAATAGTACAGATTATAATAATGCTAGAAATTATTTGGAAACTAATATTACAAATCAAAACAATTAAATTGGAGGTTTAAAATTAACATCTGACTTGATCATGAAGCTTGTTTCTAACAAATCAAACTTTTGCTCTGACTAATTCTTAAGCAAGCTAAGCGAGAGTCTTTAAAGTATAAATCCTCTACTTAAATAGTTTACTTTGAACACAGCAGTTTTCAAGGAGAATAAAGAATAAATTGACTTTTCCAAGATAAGTGAGGAAAGAATACATTTGATAGAAGAATATGTTAAGCATTCATTAGCTTTGTCAAGAGGGGAATAGTAATATGAATAGGAAGTAAAAGATAGTTTAGAAATCAAATAAATGACTTAAATTGTAGATTCTAAAATGATTTTCTTGAGGTAAGAGTTCATTTAATAGTTTGAAAAGTTCTTAGTTGATGTAAAACCCTTCTTAAAATAGATTAATTTCACTAATACTTTCACTGACAAAAATAAATTTGATTTCTTCAGAAATTTGAAAGATAACAAATTGAATATTTTATTTTAGGAAAGTTTACCCAATTTAGATCTAAAATTGTTTGCAACTTAGTATAATAATGGGTAGAGAGATTAAGTAGTAAATAAAAAAGAAAATGGTTATTATGAAATTGAAAAATTAAATAATGATTCTGATGTGAATTGTATATCAAATACAAATTTATAAAAAGATTAGAAGTATATTTTTAGGATAAAAGCTGAACTTCAAAATGAAGGTAATTCTTTTTTGATTGGACTAATGAGAAGTTCAAATGCTGATTAAACTGGAGGATATAAAGAATATTTAAGCTGTCACTTAAATCAATCTGTAGTTAAATTTAATAATTATGGTATTGATAAATAATTAAAGGGAGTAGGATTTAAGACAAGTGGAGAGAATATGATAGAACTCAGATTGTGTTTGTAAGAGTAGATTCTAGAAGTGTTAGACTTTCCTAATTATGAGTATAAGCTAGGATTAGAAGATAAATATAAAGAGAAGCTTATATAATTTGATGATCTAAGATTTTATCTTGACATTTTTAGCAAAGGAAGCAAATTAGTTTTAATGGATGTAAAAATAGTGAATGAGTTTATAAATTGAATTAAATTTTATAAATATTTTATGTATGCACTTAAACCAGAAATAAAGAAGTAAAGTAATATATTGTATACTCTCATTAATTAAGACCCATTTTTAGAAAATGTAAAAAAATTTAGAATTTTTTTTTAAATTTTTTTAATATTAATTTTAATTTTATGATATTATAATTAAAAACAAAATTATATTATGTAAGTATTAAGCCATGTTTTATTATCTGTTAGAATTTTAACATTTTTTTATAAGATACTCAAATAAGTATCATTGCTTTTTTCTAAAAAGCGAATCTAAAACTCAAATTAATTATCAAAATAAATCATTAAAAAAACATTCAAAATATATCTTCTTACTCTAATCTTATAAATGGATAAAATTACCATTTAAAATCTTAAATGCAATAAGCATCCAAATAAAAACCTTCAATTTATTTAAGTAAATGATGTTCTAACACAACCTATTTCAACTAAACCTCTCTTTTACTGCTCTTCCTGTTTTAATCACGATCTTCAATTTAAATCTATCAACTATCTTATGATTGACTAGATTTTTTAAGAAGCAGACACTAACATCACCCCAAAATGGCCGCCAGTCAACAACTATCAAATCATCTAAGATCTCATCGATCTTACATCAAATTAATCTTCACTTGACTATGTCAAGCAAATTACAGATTTCTTTCATCAATTCAAAGAAGAATTTTTAAATAAAATAGATGTCATCTAAAAAAAGATGATCAATGAAGCCTTGAAATATCCTATTGATACATAGCAAATCATCAAAAGATATTAAGAAATTTCAAATATTCTTTAGTTTAAGTAGCTTCTTAATAACGAATAATCAAATAACCTCCAAGATCATTCAACTCTCTGTAAACAATTTATCTCACAAATGGAGTCTCAAAAAGATAAAAATACTGAATTATTGTAAAATCTCCTTACCTAAGCAAATTAATTGAGAACTAATTTCAATATGGAATATCCTCAAATCATTAAATAGTAATTACTTACTTTTATTGACCAAATTTCTTTCTTCAATTTAGATATTCCTGAAGTTAATAGCACAAATCATAATAATACTAGAAATCATATCGAAGCTAATATTACAAACCAAAATAATTATAATGTAGATTTAAAACTAACATCTGACTTAATCATGAAGCTTGTTTCTAATAAATCAAACTTTTGTTCTGATTAATTCTTAAGTAAGCTAAGTGAGAATCTTTAAAGTATAAACCCTCTACTTAAGTAGTTTACTTTCAAAGCAGCCGTTTTCAAGGAGAATAAAGAATAAATTGACTTTTCCTAAATTAGCGAGGAAAAAATAAATTTGATAGAAGAATATGTTAAGCATTCAATAGCTTTGTCGAGAGGGGAATAGTAATTTGTATAGGAATTAAAGGATAGTTTAGAAATAAAATAAATGACATAAATTGTAGATTCTAAAATGATTTTCTTGAGGTAAGAGTTCATTTAATAGTTTGAAAAGTTCTTAGTTGATGTAAAACCTTTCTTAAAATAGATTAATTTCACTAATAGTTTTATTGACAAAAATAAATTTGATTTCTACAGAAATTTGAATGATAAAAGGTTTTATTATGCTTTATATGAGGAAAGTTTACCCAATTTAGATTTAAAATTCTTTGTGACTTAGCGAAATAATGGGTAGAGAGATTGTGTGGTAAATAAAAAAGAAAGTGGTTATTATGAAATTGAAAAATTAAATAATAGTGATTATTATGTGAATTGTATATCAAATTCAAATTTATAAAAAGATTAGAAATATATTTTTAGGATAAAGGTTGAAAGTCTAAATGAAGGCCATGATTTTATGATAGGTCTAATGAGAAATTCAAACGCTAATTTTAATTGTGGATTTTAAGAGTTATTAAGCTGTGGCTTAAAGAAAAATAATTAATCTGTAATTAAATTTTATAATTATGGTATTGATAAATAATTAAAGGGAGCAGAATTTAAAACAAGTGGAGAGAATATGATAGAACTCAGATTGTGTTTGAAAGAATAGATTTTAGAAGTGTTAGATTATCCTAATTACGAGTGTAAGCTAGGATTACAGGATTAATATAAACAGAAACTAACATAATTTGATGATCTAAGATTGTATCTTGGAATTTGCAGTTAAGGAAGCAAATATATTTTAATGGATGTAAAAATAGTGAATGATTTTATAAACTGAAATATAAATTTTTAATAATTATGTATTTATTTTCTTATTCTAAAATTTTAATAATTCAATTTGCTAAAAATAAAATTATTGAGTTAAATTTAGCTTATTTCTGAAGTTGATTTATCATTAATAATATTTGTTAAAATAATGTTATTTTAAATTTTGATTGATATTTAATTTGAAAATAAGGGTTAAAAGTTATATTTGAATATATGTTATATTTAAATCTTACATATTTCACATTAAAATTTGAAGGAAGAAATAAAATTTGTTGATTAATTGATCCCTCTTAAAAATGGATGTTTGATTAATTCTTTTTATTTTAATTTTATGCATTTTAAAAAATAACATGAGAGATAATTATAAATTATAAAATATTTTGTTTATTTGTCTAAAAAATGTTACATTAATTTATTTTGATTCATTAAGCCTTTAATAAGTATTAATTTACGCGTTCATAGAATATAATTACAAAATTAATTTAATGCAATTGATTTGTGGTAAAATATAGTTTGTAATTGCTGATAAATTTACATTAGTATTTCTGACCTTTTAATAACAATTATTATTAAATAATTTTTAATACCTAATAAGACAAAAATACAATAACGAAAATTTAATTTTTGTCTTAAGATAAATTCTAAAATATAAAGTTGGTTATGCAAAAATGTGCTTTAATCAATTTTTTATTAAAAAAATCTAATCTTCTCAACTAATATGATTATAATTTTATAAATTGCTAAATGAAATTGATAATAATTAGATAAAATTTATATTTTCAAATATTTAAAATAATAAAATCCAAAGATGGTTGATTAGATAAACAAAATTTGTTTTCATATTAACTTTTTTCTATTTAATTATCAAAATTTTTGATTTCAATATATTAAAAACAAAAACATTTATTTCTCTCTTATCAGTAAATTTTTATTTATATAAAATCAAAAAAGTTCTTAACTTACCTTAATAGAAAAAAATATTAAATTCTTATTTTGACTTTACATGATTGATTAGATTAGAAATCTGGTTATGATTGATTAATAAAAAGTGTAAAGCAATTATATGCTTTTTAACTTTAAGTAAGACGTAAATATAAATTAATGTCTATTTTTTAATTAAAATCTGTAAAAGAATTATTATTATAACAAAATATCACTAGATCAATTTCTGAATAATTCTTAATTACGTTTAAGATAACCTATAGTTTCTTTCATCCAATTTAGATAAAAAAGATTTAATATTTTACCAAAAATTTATAAATATTAATTCTTTCTCTTGATGTTAATACTTGTTAATCAATCACCTTTATATTAACCTTTCTTAACATAACAAATTAGTTTTAAAAGTACTCATCTTTAATAGGAAGATAATTAATTTTTATTTAAAATAATCAATTAAAATAAAAAATAATAACGATATGAAAACTGCTTTAATACTTATCTCTATAATTTCCTTAGTGAGCATTTTAACAGTTAACTCATTAAATAAGCATCAAAGTCTAAGATAAAATGGCGCTGATTGTTCTAAAACTATTCTATAAATAGGATACGAAGAGATACTTGTAACCAATACATGTCAACAAAACATGACTTTTAAATACTCAGTTTCTGCTAAATACTAAAATCAGATTCAAACAATAAATGTTTAAACTGATTGTCTTAAGCAAGACGAAACTGAATCATATAGGCTAGATTTCCCAAGCGACTTCCAAATTTTCTCACAAAGTCTTGGAGAATAAAGTGAATGTTGATAAATTGATTTCTACATAATAATATCTTGCATATTATTTCTATTAATATATATTATTATTATATATAAAATATTAAAATTATAAACTAAATAATCTATTTTAAAATATAACTTTTTTTAAGTTTTTCACCATTTTTTTCAAATAAATCAATACATAAATATGTTTAATAGAAATTAAATTTTTTATTGTAGGAAAAAGAATAATTGATTTTATGGATTATGTTTTTATAAATTATACCATTCATTTTCAAAGAATTTTATATGTATTAATTCAATAAATATATTATTATAGAGTGATTTTTTAGGAAGGTCTATCAAAAAAAAGCCTTTCCTTTCCCATTTATTATTTGAATAGTAATATTATAATTACTTAATATTTAGTTTAAATAGTTTTTTTAAAACTAATATTTATTTTATTTTTTTAGCTGCTCTTAAGAATTCATTCTTTCAATTCATTAAATTAGATAAGAAAGAAGCTTTTTGAGATAGTATAAATTAGATCAAGTTTTTTTAAATCAAATAAAAGTATTGAAAATGAGTATTGGCTTTGTAATTTGCATGATGGGGTTATTTTTTGAAATTGGGTTAAAAAACTCTGAAAGTTGAGCTCACAATGTAAAATCTAAGAATTTTAATTTTTTGCAAAATTTGAAAGGGAAACCTCCCTTTTCAAATTAATCTCTTAATTTTTATTTTTGTTCTATTAAAAAAGCGAAGCTCCTTTTTTTTTCTTTTTGATTAATTGAACAATTCCAGAATATTTTTTAATCAATTAAATATTTTTATTTTTCCATTTTTTATATTTTTTATGATTAAAGTATTAAATGGCCAGGCTTGTAAAAAAAGAGTTGGATTTAAGTATAGTCACTTTTATATAAAATCAAATATTAAAAATTAATGATTTAGTTTTGCAAAGATCTTTCTTATTTTATGTAAAAAAGCTTGAAAGTTTATTTTTATGCCTTGTATTCACTATAAAAATTTGAAGGAAGAGTTTATAATAGTAAATCAATTTATTTTTTAATATTTTATATTTGTTAGGCAAACTATGATGATATAAAATTGGTTGACTAATTGACCTCTCATAAAAATGGATGATTAAATAATTATCTTTAGTTAAATTTTACCCATTTATAAAAATAGACTTGAGAGATAGTTACAAATTATAAAATATTTTGTTTATTAGTCAATCATTTTTAAAAAATGTTGCATGATTTATTTTAAAAAGGACTGATTTATGAATTCATTGAATATTATTAAGAAATGAATAATCTAATTGATTTGTGGTAAATTATAATTTATAATTGCTGATGTATATATATTAGTACCTCTGATCAGATCCTTTTGTATTTAGATTGCAGACCCTTTTAATAAAAGTTATTATCATTTAATTTTAGACTTTAATATCTGGTAAGAAAAAAATTGATTAACTAAAATTTGATTTTTCTATTCAGATAACTTCTATACTTTAATGCAAAAATGCGCTTTTATCAATTTAAAAATAAATCTTTTTCTCCTCAACTAACATATTTATAATTTTATTAATTGGTAAGTGAAATTATAATAAATAGCTAAAAATTTGTATTTTTAAATATTTGAAATAATAAAATTCAAGGATGGTTGATTCAATAAATGTTATTTTCATATTAACTTTCATTTATTTTATTTATCAAAATTTTTGATTTCAATATATTAAATAACAAAAGCATATCTATCTTATCAATTAATTTTTATAATGTAAAATCAAAGCAAATTTCTAGCTTAACTTATTAGAATGAAATGTTTTTTTATTTTTTTGACTTTACATGATTACATTAGATACTTGATAATGATTTAGAGTAAAAAAACTTAATAAAAAACATTATTATTAAAATAACTATAAACTTTTTAACTCTAAGTCAGACATGAATATAAAGTTAAATGTCTAGTTTTTTATTTATGAATAGTAAAAGAATTATCATTAAATAAAAATATCATTAACTACCAATTTCTGACTAATTCTTAATTAGTTTATGAGAAATTATAGTTTATTTCATTCAATTTACATAGTAAAAGATTCAATATATGACACAAAAACATCTAAAAATTAATTTTATCTCTCTTTGTCTATTCCTTGTAATCATCATTTTTATTATCTATTTACCTTTTCTTAACATATTAAATACTATAAACAAGGACCCATCCTTAATAGGAAGATAATTAATTAATTTTTATTAAAATAAATAAATTAAAATAAAAAACTTGAACGTAATGAAAACTGCTTTAATATTAATTTCTATAATTTCCTTAGTGAGCATTTTAACTGTTAACTCATTAAATAAACACCAAAATCTAAGATCTGATGATATTACTTGTTTGAACTCTACTCTGGATATGGGCGACTTATACATTGCTGTAACTAACGCATGCCAAAAAAGTGTGACTTTTAAATTCTCAGTTTCTGGTTCAGACTCAAATGAAACTAAACAATTAGATTTTGAAACTATATGCCTTAAGCAATAAGAAACATAAAGATTCGAACTAGATTTCCCAAAGAGCTACACTATTTTCAGTCAAATTATTAAAGAATAAAATGATTGTTGATTAATTGATTTCTACTTAATTAATAATATGTTTTTTGCATATTATTTCTAATAATATATATTATATATAAAAGTATTAATAATAAATATTCTTTTTTTGAATTTAATTAAAAAGTTTTCCACCATTTTTTTCAAATAAATAAAAAAATATTTTTATTTTATCAAAATTTTATTGTAATATGATAAAAACTATATTTACTCTTCTGAATTATATTATTATAAATTTTCAAATGATATTTCATACAGACATTTTCTAATTTATTTGTAAGTATTATTTAAATATAAAAATATCAGTAAAATTTACTTTATCAACAAAAATATAAAGCTTTCACAAAAAAAAACCTTACCCATTTATTTTTTGGATAGTAATATTTTAATTACTTGATATTTCCTTTATATAGTTTTTTAAATCAATATTTATTTGATACGAGTTGGATTTGTTAATAATTTATTATGTGAATTGATTAAATTAGATAAAAGAGGAATTTTTAGTTAGTTTATGTGATCAAGTTTTGTAAAATCAAATAAATTAATAATTTTTATTAAGAATTTAAAAAAGAAACAGTAAAAGTGTAATAAAATATATTCATCTGAATGAATTAGTTGTATGAAGAGAGAACTGAACATATTGTAAATAAGTAAGTCTTGTATATGCAATTTAAATGATGGGGTGTTTTTAAGATTACATTAGCAGGCACTGAAAAGTGAGTTCACAAGAAGAAAATTGAATTATTTTTCAAATTAAAATTTTTTTTTTCAAAAGAAAGTTCAATATTTAAAGTAAAATATATTCTTTAAATATATTCTTTAAATTATGTTTGTTTTTATTGGAAAATTCATTAATAAAATTTTTATTTTATGAATAACACTTAAATAAAATATTATTTAGCAAATATATTAACAAGAATTCTGCTAATAGTTTTTCTTAACTTTAACCATAACCCCACCCAGTTGGTTCCTCTTTGAGCTTGAATTATTATAATTAATTAATACTTTTAAATATTTTTATCTTATAAAAGTATTAGAAAAATTCACATACTAACTTTTACTAAAATAAATATTTTTATTGTATTAAATCTCATAAAATTACCCCTTATTTAGATTTTAATATTTTTTAGTTTTCATTCGCTTTTTTAATTAATTAATTACTAAAATTTTAAAAAATATGACTAACTACCCATATCTAATTCCTAATATATTTTTAAGTATTTTTTAAAAATAGAAATATTGAGATTATATAATTAATCTTAAATTAATTTTTCTATGATATCACTTTTTAAAATCAAATTCATAAATTAATATTTGATCATTAATTATTATATTTGTTCTTTTTATCTATTAATAATTAATTAATTAAATTCCATAAATTTCTATTCAATATTATTGAAAAAAAAAATAAATGATATAATAGATTACATATTACAACAGATTAGAAGAAGTAATTATTTATTTATTTATTAATATCCTTTAAATTTATAAATATTAATAAAAATAGTTTTTAAACTCTTCACTTTAATCTCATTAAGTTCTCCATATTGATCTGAGGTATATTTAATTTTTATTATTATTATTATTAACATTTTCAATATATTTAAAAAAATAATTTTTATAATATAAATTCTCATCATTACATTAATCAGTGATTTTAATTAAAACAAAAATTGTTTAGCTATTTTAACTTAATTTTCATTTCATTTTTAAATTTTTAATTATTTATTATTCATTTTTATTATTTGATATTTTTTTTCTCTATTAACATTTACACTTCTTAAAAACAGTTTATTTGTTTTGGATTGTGATATTTTTAATTATAAAACTTATTTAAAACAATAAAAGCTCTTTTTTTTGCTTTCTTTTTATCCTTCTTTCTTTCTTTCTTTCTTTCTTTCTTTCTTTCTTTCTTTCTTTCTTTCTTTCTTTCTTGCTTTTTTTTTTTTATTTATTAATTTAACTCATCACTTTATTTTCAACTTTTGGTTATATTATTAATTAATCTTATTATTTCATATTTTTTCATCATTTTTTCCTTCTAATGAAATATTTAATTAAAATTTTTTCTTCAATATTTAAAAAGTGACAATGAAATTGGTGACGAAGGTGCATCAGGCTTAGGTTCTGTTTTAGTTAAGTGCATTAATCTCTCAAATTTGACACTTTATCTTTAGTAAAAACAGTTTATTTGTTTTGGATTGTGATATTTTTAATTAAAAAAATTAATTTAAAACAATAAAAGCTCTTTTCTCTTTTTCTTTTTAGTGTGCTTGCTTGCTAACTTTTTTTTGTTCTTTCATACTTTGTTAATTTAACTCATTATTCAATTTACAATTTTTGCTTTTATTATTTATTAATCTTATTATTTAATATTTTTTCTTCATTTTTTCCTTCTAATTAACTATTTAATTATTTATTTTTTCTTCAATATTTAAAAAGTGACAATTAAATTGGTGACGAAGGTGCTTCAGGCTTAGGTTCTGCTTTAGCTAATTGCATTAATCTCTCAAATTTGACACTTTACCTTTAGTAAAAACAGTTTATTTGTTTTGGATTGTGATATTTTTAATTATAAAACTAATTTAAAACAATAAAAGCTCTTTTTTCTTTTTCTTTTTATTGTGCTTGCTTGCTTTTTTTTGTTTCTTCTTTGATAATTTAACTCATCATTTAATTTTAAACTCTTGCTTTTATTATTAATTAATTAATTTTATTATTTCATATTTTTTCTTCATATTTTCCTTCTAACTAATCTCTCAAATTTGAATCTTAACCTTTAGTAAAAATAGTTTATTTGTTTTGGATTGTGGTATTTTTAATTATTAAACTAATTTAAAACAATAAAAGCTCTTTTTTCTTTTTCTTTTTATTGTGCTCGCTTGCTTTTTTTTGTTCTTTCTTTCTTTGTTAATTTAACTCATCATTAAATTTTCAACTTTTGCTTTTTATATTAATTAATTAATCTTATTATTTCATATTTTTTCTTCATTTTTTCCTTCTAATTAGCCATTTAATTATATATTTTTTCTTCAATATTTAAAAAGAGGCAATTTAATTGGTGACGAAGGTGTATCAGGCTTAGGTACTGGTTTAGCAAATTGCATTAATCTCTCAAATTTTACACTTTATCTTTAGTAAAAACAGTTTATTAGTTTTGGATTGTGATATTTTTAATTATAAAACTAATTTAAAACAATTAAAGCTCTTTTTTCTTTTTCTTTTTATTGCGCTTGCTTGCTTTTTTTTATTCTTTCTTTCTTTGTTAATTTAACTCATCATTAAATTTTCAACTTTTGCTTTTATTATTAATTAATTAATCTTATTATTTCATATTTTTTCTTCAATATTTAAAAAGTTACAATTTAATTGGTGACAAAGGTGTATCAGGCTTAGGTACTGGTTTAGCAAATTGCATTAATCTCTCAAATTTGACACTTTATCTTTAGTAAAAACAGTTTATTAGTTTTGGATTGTGATATTTTTAATTATAAAACTAATTTAAAAAAATTAAAGCTCTTTTTTCTTTTTCTTTTTATTGTGCTCGCTTGCTTTTTTTTGTTCTTTCTTTCTTTGTTAATTTAACTCATCATTTAATTTTCAAATTTTATTTTTATTATAAATTAATTAATCTTATTATTTCATATTTTTTCTTCATTTTTTCCTTCTAATTAACTATTTAATTATATATTGTTTCTTCAATATTTAAAAAGAGGCAATTAAATTAGTGCAATGGGTGCATCAGACTTAGGTTCTGCTTTAGCTAAGTGCATTAATCTCTCAAATTTGACACTTGACCTTTAGTAAAAACAGTTTATTTGTTTTGGATTGTGATATTTTTAATTATAAAATTTATTTTAAAACAATTAAAGCTCATTTTTCTTTTTGCTTGCTTGCTTTTTTTGTTTTTTTTTGTTAATTTAACTCATCATTTTATTTTCAACTTTTGCTTTTATAATTAATCAATCTTATTATTTCATATTTTTTCTTCATTTTTTACTTCTTATTAACTATTTAATTATATATTTTTTCTTCAATATTTAAAAAGTGGCAATTATATTGGTGATGAAGGTTCATTAGGCTTAGGTTATGCTTTAGCTAAGTGCATTAATCTCTCAAATTTGACACTTAAACTTGGGTAAAAACAGTGTATTTGTTTTGGATTGTGATATTTTTATTATAAAACTAATTTAAAAAAATAAAAGCTCTTTTTTCATTTTCTTTTTATTGTGATTGCTTGCTTGCTTTTTTTGTTCATTCTTTGTTTGTTAATTTAACTCATCATTCAATTTTCAACTTTTGCTTTTATTATTAATTAATCTATCTTATTATTTCATATTTTCTTCATTTTTTCCTTCTAATTAACTATTTAATTATATATTTTTTCTTCAATATTTAAAAAGTGGAAATAATATTGGTGATACATACATACATACTCGCACATGGTGACATGCACTCGGGATAGGGGCCCTATATATAATTACTTATACATTATTATTATACGTATACCAATTTATTTATATATAATTGTGGGTAATATATTAGAAGGGAAGGGTCACCTACACCCTAATGGCATTTCTACTAATCTTCCATGATTTGACTACGCATTATGCTCGCTTCCCATTTGTATTCCAGATCTTCTGTTCAGAATGGGGCCTCCTCTTTACCACCTATCAGATTTGGAATATTGGTGATGGAGGTGCATCAAGCTTAGGTACTGGTTTAGCAAATTGCATTAATCTCTCAAATTTGAATCTTTAACTTGAGTAAAAACAGTTTATTTGTTTTGGATTGTGATATTTTTAATTATAAAGCTAATTTAAAACAAAAAAAGCTATTTTTTCTTTTTCTTTTTATTGTGCTTGCTTGCTTGCTTATTTTTGTTCTTTCTTTGTTAAAATAGGCTTTTATTATTAATTAATTAATCCTATTATTTTATATTTTTTCATTCTAATAAACTATTTAATTATTTATTTTTTCTTTAATATTTAAAAAGATACAATTAAATTGGTGGAATGGGTGCATCAGGCTTAGGTTCTACTTTAGCAAAGTGCATTAATCTCTCAAATTTGACACTTGATCTTAAGTAAAAACAGTTTATTTGTTTAAGATTGTGATATTTTTAACTATAAAATGAATATTTAACAAAAAAGCTCCTTGAATTTCTTTGATTTATTTTTTTTATTACAGTAATGTTATTTTATTTATTTATTTAATAATTTAAGAAATAATTTTTAATTTAAGAGTTTATTTTATTTAATATTTTTTAAAAATTTACACAAATTTATAATAAAAGTGGTAACTAAATGAATAAATAACAAAAATTCAAAGTTTTAAGCAAGTGTCTTAAATCAAAAAGATTAGTTGTCTTTGGAAAATATTTCTGATGATAAATAAGTGGCAAAAAAGGATGAATAAATATTAAATATTTGAATTATTACATAATTTTTTGAAAAAGTTTTTTTAAACTAAAATATAGATACATAGATAGATAGATTTTATTACTGTTTTTATATTTATAAATATCATTCATATTTTTGTAAGTTAATAAATAACTTATAATTAATAAAAAAGGATCAAATCATTTGAAATTTTTAATGTTATATTATAACTTATTAAATAATATAAATGCAAGATTTTATATTACAATTAGATTTTAATCTTAAATAGTATCCATCAATCATATTAAGGAATTTAAGGGGTTACAAATTTAGGGAGAAATCAAATTGTACTATTCTATTTATTAAAAAATTATTTAAGTAAGTGTAAATCTACTTATTTGGTGGATACAATATATATATTTACCTAAATAACACGTGCTTGTAAAAAAAAAAACTAATCGGATTAGAGAATAATATGAGATATTATAAATATTCCTATAATTAATTACTCTAAAACATAAGAATCTACTTATAAAAATTATTTTTATAAAATTTAATAACATTTATTAATTACTAAAATTTTTTCAAATATGACGAACGATCTACCCATCTCTCATACTTACTATATTTTTGAGTATATATTTTAAAGACCAATATCAAAATTAAATATTGAATGTTAATTTTATTTTTCTGTGATATCTCTTCATAAAACCAAATTTTCTAAATTAATATTTGATAATTACTTATTATGTTTTATGTTCTTTTTATCCATTTATAATTAATTAAATTCCATAAATTGCTATTCAATATTTTTAAAAGTAAAAAAAAATAAATGATGTAATAGATTAAATATTATAAAAAATTAGAAGAAGTAATTATTTATTTATTTATTTATTAATATCTTTTAAATTTATATATTTTTATAAAAAAAGTTTTTAAACTCTTAACTTTTATCTCATTAGGTTCTCCATATTGATCTGATGTATATTTAATTTATAAATATTATTTTTATTATTATTAATATTTTTTTTATATTTAATTTTCAATTTATTTCAAAAAATAATTTTTATATTAGAAACTCTCATCATTCATTATTCATTGATTTTTATTAAAGCAAAAATTTTTAGCTATTTCGACTTAATTTTCATTTAAATTTTTAATTATTTATTTATTATTCATTTTTTATTATTAGATATTTTTTCTTCATTTTTTGCTATTAACATTTACACTAAATAAAAATAGTTGATTTATTTTGGATTGTAATATTTTTAATTATCAAAGTTTATCTAAAATATTAAAGCTCTTTTAATTTATTTGATTTATTTTCCTTTTCTTTTTATTTTGCTTGATTTTTTTTGTTTTTTCTTTATTAATTGAACTCATCATTTTACGTCCAACTTTTCTTCATATTTCCCTTCTAATTAACTATTTAATTATATATTTTTTCTTCAATATTTAAAAGTTACAATTAAATTGATTCAATAGGTGCATCAGGCTTAGTTTCTTCTTTAGCAAAGTGCATTAATCTCTCAAATTTGACACTTAAACTTGAGTAAAAACAATTTATTTGTTTTGGATTCTGATAATTTTAGTTATATAAACTAATTATGAACAATAAAGTTCTTTTTTCTTTTTCTTTTTATTGTGCTTGCTTTTTTTTGTTCTTTCTTTGTTAATTTAATTCATCATTTTATTTTCTACTTTTACTTTTATTGTTATTTCATATTTTTTCTTCATTTTTGCTTCTAATTAACTATTTAATTATATATTTTTTCTTCAATATTTAAAAAGTTACAATTAAATTGGTGACTAAGCTATATCAGGCTTAGGTTCTGCTTTAGCAAATTGCATTAATCTCTCAAATTTGAGGCTTAACCTTATGTAAAAACAGTTTAATAGATTTGGATTGTTGATATTTTTAATTATAAAAACTAATTTAAAACAATAAAGCTCTTTTTTCTTTTTCTTTTTATTGTGCTTGCTTTTTTGTTCTTTCTTTTTTGTTAATTTAGCTCATCATTTTATTTTCTACTTTTACTTTTATTATTAATCTTATTATTTCACATTTTTTCTTCATTTTTTCCTTCTAATTAACTATTTAATTATTTATTTTTTATTCAATATTAAAAAAGTTACAATAAAATTGGTTACTAAGGTGCGTCGGGCTTAGGTTCTGGTATAGCAAATTGCATTAATCTCTCAAATTTAACACTTCATCTTTAGTAATAACAGTTTATTTGTTTTGGATTGCGATATTTTGAATTATAAAAACTAATTTAAAACAATTAAAGCTCTTTTTTCTTTTTCTTTTTATTGTTCTTGTTTTTTTTCTTCTTTCATTGCTAAATTAAATTATCATTTATTTTATTTTCAATTTTTGCTTTTATTATTAATGAATTAATCTTATTATTTCATATTTTTCTTCATTTTTTCGTTCTAATTAACTATTTAATTATATATTTATTCTTCAATATTTAAAAAGTCGCAATTAAATTGGTGATAAGATAAGATAAGATAAACTCGCACACATAAATGCACTCAGAAATACATCTTAAAAGTAATTATAATTTATAATAAGTGTTTAAAATTGGTTTTTGGTTTGATAGTTTTCTCGAAAACCCCCCTTATTTTAGACACTGTTTATGATTTTTTGGAAAGTTTTTTTTAAATTGGTGATGAAGGTGTATAAGGCTTAAGTTCTGCTTTATCAAAATGCATTAATCTCTTAAATTTGATACTTAACCTTGAGTAAAAATAGTTTATTTGTTTTGGATTGTGATATTTTTAATTACAAAACTAATTTAAAACAATAAAAGCTCTTTTTTCTTTTTCATTTTATCTTACTTGTTTTTTTTTTCTTTCATTGTTAATTTAACTAATTATTTTATTTTCAACTTTTACTTTTATTATTAATTAATCTTATCATTTCATATTTTTTCTTCATTTTTTCATTCTAATTAACTATTTAATATATTTTTTCTTCAAAATTTAAAAAGTGACAATTAAATTGGTGACAAAGGTGTATCAGGCTTAGGTACTGCTTTAGCAAAATGCATTAAGCTCTCAAATTTGACACTTAACCTTGAGTAAAAATAGTTTATTTGTTTTGTATTGTGATATTTTTAATAATAAAAACTAATTTAAAACAATAATAGCTCTTTTTTCTTTTTCATTTTATCTTACTTGTTTTTTTTATTCTTTCATTGTTAATTTAACTAATTATTTTATTTTCAACTTTTGCTTTTATTATTATTTAATTAATCTTATTATTTCATGTTTTTTCTTCATTTTTTCATTCTAATCAACTATTTAATGATATTTTTTTCTTCAATATTTAAAAAGCGAAAATTAAATTGGAGACTAAGGTGGATCAGGCTTAAGTTCTGCTTTAGCTAATTGCGTTAATCTCTCAAATTTGACAATTTATCTTTGGTAAAAGCAGTTTATTTATTTAAGATTGATATTTTTAGCTATAAAAATGAATATTAAACAAAAAAGCTCTTTGAATTTATTTGATAGATTTTATTTGATTTTTTTTTTATCCTTTTTTTCCACTAATTTTATTTTATTTATTTATTAATTTAAGAAATAATTTAAAATTTTATTTTATTAAATATTTATTTAAATATATACAAATTTTTTATAAAAGTTTTAACTAAATCAATGAATCATATAAATTCAAAGTAATAAGCAAGTGTCTTAAATCAAAAAGATTAGTTGTATTTGAAAAAAAATTATGATGATAATAAACAAGTGGCAAAAAAAGGATGAATAAATATTATATGAATGTTTGAATAATTGAATATTAATTATATGTTTTATTATATAATATTTTGAAAAAGTTTTTTTAACCTAAAATATTGATACATACATACATAGATAGATAGATTTTATTATTGGCTTTATATATAGCAAAATGCCATTCAAAAATTTGGTGAATTGAGATCACTATTTTTTTGAATGGTTGATGCCTTTGAATATGATTTATATAAAAATAAATAATTTTATAATAGAATTTAATTAATAATATTAATAATTTTAATTTTTTTCAATCTTTATGATTTTTCTATTCAATTTTTAAATTTAGCCTTTTTTAAAAATTTTTTTTGAAGAAAAATTTTTAAAAAAAGCTAAAATTAAAAATTAATAGAAAAATCATAAAAATTGATATTAATTAAAATAATAAATATTATGAATTAAATTCTATTATAAATTATTAATTTATTTTTATATAAATAATATTCAAATATATCAGCCATTCAAAAAAATAGTGATCTCAATTCATTAAATTTTTGAATGGCATTTAGCTATATTAAAAATTCATTTATTGGTTTAGTAGAGATATTTCTTATTTTATTTATACATTCATTTGCAATAAAAAAATTTGAAAGTTTATCTTTATGCCTAAAATTTGAAGGAAGAGTTAATAATTTTTGCTATAGTGAATCAATTTATTTTTTAATCTAATATATTTAGTAGGCAAATTATTTATACTCTAAGATGAAATAAAATTCGCTAATTAATTGATCCATCACAAAAATGGATGATTGATTTGTTAATTATTTTTAGTTTAATATTATACATTTATAAAAATAGATTTGAGAGATAATTACAATTTATAAAATATTTTGTTTAATTGCGTATAATTTTTAAATTATGTTACATTAATTTATTTTAATTCATTATGCATTTTTAAGAAGGCCTAATTAATGAACTCGTTGATAATAATTAAAAAATTAATTTAATATATTTGGTTTATGGCAAATTATTGTTTATTATTGCTGATATAGATGAATTAGTATCTCTGATCAGATCCTTTTTCTATTGAGATTGTGGAACCTTTTAATAAAAGTTGTTAGATTTTAATATCTGATAAGAATAAAATAGAATAATTAAAATTTAAGATAACTTCTAAACTATAAAATTGGTTATGTAAAAATGAGCTATTTATTATCTATTTAAAAAAAGAAAATCTATATCACCTCAGCTAACAAAATTTATAAATTTATTAATAAGTAAGTGAAGTTTATAATAATTAGCTAAAATTTTGTATTTTGAAATATTTAAAATAATTATACTCAAAAATGATTGATTGAATCAACTTTATTTTCAAATTAAATTTTTTCTATTTAATTATCAATATTTTTGATTTCAATTCATTAAAAAACAAAAGCAAGCATCTCTTTCTTATCAGTAAATTTGTATTGATATAAACCATAACTAGATTATAGAAAGATATATTAAATTATTTCTTTAACTTTACACAATTAGATTAGATATCTTGTTATTTGTTATGATTTATGGTGGAAAAACTTAATACCAAAATCTATGAATAAAACAATAAAAAATTTTTTTACTATAAGTAAGATTTTACATCAAAGTTAAATGTCTATAATTTAAGATTAATAAAGTATTATCATCATATAAAAGTATACAAGCCACAAATTTTTGACAAATTTTTAATTACTTTTAAGAGAACCTTTAGTTTCTTTAATCCAATTAGATTTTAAAAGAAAGATTTAATATTTTACACAAAAATTTCTAAATATAAATTTCATCTCTTGATACTAACTAATACTTGTAAGTAATCACCATTTTATTAACTATTAACCTTTCTTAAAGTAATAGTTTTTAAAATTTAAAAGTACCCTTCCTTAATTGGAAGATAATTGATTTTTATTTAAATGAATCAATTAAAATAAAAAATTTAATGCTATGAAAATTGGTTGTTTTAATACTAATCTCTATGATTACCTTAGTGAACATACATTTTAACTTTTAGCTCATTAAATAAATATCAAAGCCTAATATCTAATGACAATAATTAGTCTAAAATTATTCTAAATATGGGCTACTAAGAGGTGCTGATAACTAATTAATACATATATATCAACAAAACAGGATTTTTAAATCCTCAGTTTGTTTCGTTCGGCTAAACACTTAAAT